CTGTTTGATTACCCCAGACATTTTCTGTATTTTACAGCATCTCAAATAATAAATAAAACATGATCAAACTATAAAAGAAAAAACAACGAATATGGTCAAGCGGAAAAAATTTCATCTGTGAGATAAATGATTGTTACCGACCGCAGAGTTCATTCAAATTTGAAGGGTGTGGGTGTGGGTGTGGGTGAGGGCGTAAGCGCAGTTGTGGCTCTGATAGGACGAAGGAGAAATACACCCAGACCCAAAAAACGATGAGCATAAGTAACAGGCACTTTGGAATCTGTTCAAACACGTTCACAAGAAGCAGTGCGTCAATAGTGAAGAAGAAAAATATGGATAAGAAAGAACTACGATGAAGAGCATTGTTGTTATTAAAGCTTGCAATTTCTCTAGTCGATCTATCTTCGACGACAAAATCACCATGATCAATCGATACAATTTTGACGCTGATTTGAGTCTGCATACTTATACAGTCAAAGTCAATCAGTTCATTGGCATGGTACACCTGTGTACTTTTTATTTTCTGGCAGCAGAAGTGATCAGGATGGTCAGTCTCACAAACATCGAAAATTTTCTGTTTCGATCCTACTTCCATGACGTTCTAAGAGAAAACTTTACTTGACACTGAATTTGTTTTTCTATTTAGACCCACGAGGAGATTGTGCGAACTATGACAAGTAGAGTCAAAATGAGTTTGGCTGTGAAGACGTGAACCAAATTTGATCGACACACACTTCTTCCACCATCGAATATGCCTATTCCAGCTGCTATTGGTCAGTATCTTTTAACTGAACTCTCCGCCATACGATGCATTTGCGGATTGGCGTGTGAAAGGCTCTGTGACTACGATAATTGTGAATCAAAGTTAGTGAGCTTCGGCTTGGGTTTTTACAGCGACGGTGTTCTAAAAGGACAACATTTTCTTAAGACGGGCGAATTGGTACGACTTTCCGCGCAGAATCTGATGGATTGCTCGAGCACATTTGGTAATAAAGATTGCAATGGAGGACTGGTAGATGCTGCATTTCAATACATCAAAATCAACAAAGGTTTGGATACGAAAGCAATCTATCCGTACAAAGCTAGTGGAAGGCAAATATCGCTTCAACCGATCTACCATGGGTGCCACCGATACAGTGAGTATTACATCTTATTCACGTAGCGCGACACTTCAGACATTGAGTATTGACTGTCTCCTGAAAGATGTAGGTTCGAAACACTAACAGACAAGAAATTTATTTCAAAAAGAATGACGGACAAAAGTAAAAGGAAAATCTAAGAGACGATATTCTATTAAGAATGATAGCATGTTTCTGGAATATGTGGTTGTGCGTGTGTTGGTATAGGGCAGCTAAAAAAGAAAAAGATACTCAATTAATTCAGAGAAAAGGATACTCGAAATTAGTGGCAGAGCCAGGATTTTGGACTGGATGGGGCTGAGAGGGACTCAGTCTCCTTTTGGGCACATTTGAGCCCCTTTCACGAAAAAAATGCATGCTTCAAAAATTCTCCTGGGGGGAGGGGCTCAGCACCCCCCGCCACCCCCTGGTTCCACCACTACTCGAAATAATAATCGTACAAAAGAGTGGACAAATCATAATGAGAAAAATAGTAAAAAAATTCCATCGTTTTATAGCAAATAACAACAATTTCTCAATGCCGTCTCAAAAACAAGAAGCACTTAATATTAATATAGCATACTTGACATCATCAGCCACGTGTACAACATTTAACATAACACGATCCATCGGGACATTCACAACAAATGTTATGATCTTTCTTAGATAATATGTTCATAAGTTTCCGAAAACTGGATTGATGATTTTTTGGAAGAACATTGTTATCCTTAATGTTTTCCATTGCTTGTGTCTGAAAGGTGGCCACTACCAATGTAAGCACAACAATCAGACATACTAACTTGGTGACGTTGAACATTGTAACTGTTATTAATAGATATTTCGTATGGAATATTATGAATATATAGGTATACGACGAGCTTGTGAATGTAACGATGCAAAATGTATTTTCATTCTTATATATACTAATCAAAAGGGTTAAGATAAGGTCCGTAATGATAGCAATGTGCAAAATAGCATTGTCATTTGTTGAGTCAACGAGAATTACTTTTGTCCTTCAATTACAAAGAAGTATACTTGTGTTATCATGTTCCATGATGTTGTCAAAAAATATGAGGAGAATATAAGAGAAAGTTAGTTAGTGTAACGAAAATTATATACATAAATGAATATAAAGTCGGTTATGACAAATGGAGAGGTACATATGCCATGATGCCTTTGTTGGCTTGCTCAGGTCCAATAAAGCGGCATCGTAAACGGCGTAATAACGTTGTAAGACGTTGAAAAACGACACCGTAGTCCGTCATACCAGATTACGGAAGCAAAACCGGGGGGAAAACAATGACCGTTTTCTAGCCATAAAAAAGGCTCGTAAGACGGTATGACGGATTACGGTGAAATAGGGCCAAAATAAAGGCAGTAATTCACCGTTCTATAGCCGTTTCAGACCAGATAAGACATCGTTTCCGACGGTCGGAATGATCGACCTGGGTGACGTTTATTCGGCTGTGCACTACATGCAAATGTATCTACCTTATATAGAACATAAACTTAAGTATATACCAGAGAGATAATAAGGAACAGAAAACGATACAATGATTTAGAAGAGAGAAGAAAAACGAGAGAAAATTAAGAAGTAACAGTTGATAGAAAAGCCATATCGTATCAACGGTATGATTTATGACACACATCAACCTTTTCAGTAATTACACAATATACTTGAGTTGTGTCATCGAAGACAAGGATGTAATGTGGGTGTGGGTGTGGGTGTGGTGTGGGTGTGGTGTGGGTGTCGGTGTGGATGGGTATGGATGTGGGTGTGGGTGTGGGTGTGGGTGTTGGCGTGGGTTTGAGTGTGAGTGTGGCTGTGGCTGTGGCTGTGGTATGGGTGGGTGTGGATGTAGGTGTGGGAGTAGGTGTCGGTGTGGGCATTAGGTTCAAGAGAAGAACTGCACCCACCCACACCAACACCAACACCCACACCCACACCCACACCCCACACCCACACCCACCCACACCCACACACCCCATCCACACCCACACCCACACCCACCCACACCCACCGACACCCCATATCTCTAATTTCGTTGTACAGAGTTCTTCAAGCCGTTTAAAGCATTTTTCTAACTTTCATGTCACTTTGCTCGCGTTTTTTCAAATGAAATTATAACACAAGACTTATTTATTAAACAACCTAGATGGGTGTGGGTGTGGATGTAGGGGCTGGGTGTGGGTATATTTTGTTTATACACAGACCCACACCCACACCCGCACCCTCACATTACAGTTAGAATACTATGATACAATTGAAACAATATTGTAATCTCATACTAACAAGAAAAATCCCACAGATTAGCACAAGCTAAATGCTTATCGAACTTAGGATCATAATAAGTCAAAAAATGACTTCTCCTTACTGGATTTTTGAATATTGCATCTCAGCGTTATCTATGCATTCACCCAATATGAACTTCACCGGTGAATCTTATCTAAAAAAAAGCATATATCAGGCAAACATTATAAGAATAGCAGTAGATAAAGCGATAAGAATAACTTGCGAGCTTGGAAAGTGAGTTGCGCGGTATAATAACAGCTTTTTTGAGATTCATTGTATTTTTTCACACACTTAGATCAATTCCTTTGTGGAACTTACATATATTTTTGCAGAAAAGTGTGAATGTAAATTTTAAGGTGACGATTTGTAGTTCCCCCTCCACTCTCCATTAAAGGCACCTCCTATCAGAGATAGAACCGGTACCGGTAACCAGCCGGTCCAGTCCAGTCCAGGGTGTGGTGGTGGTTGTGGGTATGGGTGTGGCTGGGGCTGTAGGTGGTGTGGGTGTGGGTGGGTGTGTTGGTGGGTGTGGGGTGTAGATGTGGGTATGTGGGTGGGCGTGGGTGTGGGTGGGGGTGGGTGTGGGTGTGGGTATGGGTGTGGGTGCGGGGTGTGGGTGTGGGTGTGGGTGGGTGTGAGTGTGGGTGTGGGTGTGTGGCTGTGGGTGTGCGTCTGACTGTTTGTGAAATAAACTTCTACCCACACCCACCCACACCCCACACCCACGCCCACCCCCTCACACCCACACCCACACCCAGCCACACCCACACCCCACACCCACACACACTCACACCCACACACACCCACACTCACACCCATCTGCCGTATTATTCGAGAAATATGTTGTTTATTTGCTTATGGCCATCGTTGTTACTTTTTCTCGTTCTTTCTTTCGTTCGATTTTACAATTTTGTTTGCGATAGTAAAAATGCGCTGTTGTTTTACTATATATGGTTCGCAATAAAGAAACAAAGATGAAAACAAATACGGAAGAAAACAAGAACACAAACACGAACGTCATTCGAAAAAAAGAACGTTAATTGGAAAAATCCAAGGAAGTTTTTCAGCAGTTCATGCAAAATATTTTGACTGATCATTCAAACACCCAAATTCTGATGCAAACAATAATTAGAAATCATATTTTCAAATACCATGGATGATCAAAATCCGCCCATTGGTGCATTTGTTTCGATAGGCGTAAGTACTGTCGTTAAAAGCATCACAATCATACCCTGTTTATCGTATGAATCCACTTGAACAGCATAACTAAACAAAGCATTTGGAAAATTACTATTATGATGATCAAGACTGTCAAATTTAACATATCAATGTGAAAGACTCAAAGTAATCCACTACAAAAGCCATCCGTCGATGTTCTGCATTTATGTAAACTTTTCGAATAGAAACAGTGCTTAACGTCGAAAATCGAACATTGTCGATACAAAACGACAGAAAAGAAAAAAGAGTCAGAATCAATAATTCTTTTCCAATGATTTTACTAAAAAGTCTCAATATTTTTTGGATGCATAATATTATTTTTTTGAAAATATTTTAAAAGATGATGCGTTTTGTTTTCTTATTCAGATTTAATGATGAATACATGCTTATCACAGTCAACACATCCTACTGGTCAAATATTAGTAACGACAAATGTGCGACAAGCTTTAACAGACAAATTGTATGAAAACTGTTCTTAGTGGTTTTTTCTCTTCTGAACGATGAAATTTCTTTTTGATACAGGCAATCGACTGACACTTTATCAGACTCAAAATCATCTACCAAAGAAAAAAATCAATTGATTGATGACCATCGTCCGACGAGATCATCATCCGACTCTGGTATATCAATAATCACAATGAAATCAAGACTTAAAAATAAACAACGAGGTGTACTTTCATCATCTAGTGATGATAGCAACAATGATAGTGTTATGGTATGCATGATTCAGTTTTTCTTTCATTGCTCAAAAAGATAAAACCTATTCCGAAGTATTTGATAAGACCAGTTGTTAAAATTTAAATGAGTTCGTTTATATTTTTCTCTTATTTTATCGAGAATAATGTGTTTGCGACAAGTTCAAACCTTCACTGCTTTTATTAAATTCTAGAAATCAACAGCTTCTAAAGATTCACTTACTACATCCCTAAAATGTTCATCAAGCCGAATCCAAATTCGAAGATTATTGTCATCTTCATCATCCGAGGAACTAAACAAAAATAATGCAGCCGAAGTAAAACACTCAAAAAAGCGGAAACTTAAAATGAAAGACAAAAATGATGCAACATCTAGTCAAAACCAAAAGAAAACAAAAAGAAATAATAGAACTAAAAATAAAGAGAAAGACTCTCTAACTAAACGAAAAACTGGTCGAAAAAATATTCGGAAAATAATTCACGATAAAGATTTAAATGTAAAAACAAAATATGCTATTGAAGTTGAGCGTCAACGTCGAAAACGTTTAGCTAAAATACAAAAATTATACAATACTACTCTACTTAGACAATCATCTTTTATACCAAATAGTAAAAGTTATAAATCAGAAAAGTCAAATCTCCGTTTAATACTCGAATTCGATAAAAAAACAAATAAATCTTATATTGAAGTTTCAACAAAATTAGTTGCACATCTAAAAAAACATCAATATGATGGAATAAAATTTCTATGGAATAACGTCTATGAATCGATTGATGCAATAAAAACTAAAAAACAAAATACTAATGGTTGTATTTTAGCTCATTGTATGGGTTTAGGAAAAACATTACAAGTTATTAGTTTTATTCATACTGCTTTTAATTACAGTCACATAACTAAAGTAAAAACATGTCTCGTTCTTTCTCCAGTAAATGCTGGTATAAACATTCGAAATGGTGATTTCTGAAAAATGATTCTATTTCGTTTGTATAGCTCTGAATTGGTCAAATGAATTTAACTTTTGGTTGAAAGATATTGAACCATCGATTAATCATTATCAATTAACAACAGTTGAACCTGGTTTACGTGTTGAGTATTTAAATAAGTGGCATGAAAATGGTGGAGTTCTTATTATGGGTTATCAGATGTATGTGCGATTAGTAAAAGGTGTTGGAATTAAAAATAAAAAAATTCAAATTGATGCATATCATTGTCTTGTTGATCCAGGACCGGATATTGTTGGTAATGTAAATATCATTGTTTTAAAGATATTTTATTTGAATTTTCATGTTTAGTTGCTGATGAAGGTCATATTTTAAAAAATTCTCAAACATCTATTGCAAATTGTTTATCAAAAATTAAAACATCTCGTCGGATTGTTTTAACTGGAACACCATTACAAAATAATCTTCTTGAATAGTAAGTTTCAAAAAATCGAGAGTTTTTCTTTGTTAGTTTTTCTTCTCATTAGTTATTGTATGATATCATTTATTAAACCAAATTTACTTGGTGATCGAGCTGAATATACAAATCGTTTCGTTAATCCAATTAAAAATGGTCAACATAGTGATTCAAATGAACAAGATGTTTATTTAATGAAAAAACGTGCTTATGTTTTGAATAAACTTTTAATTGGTATCGTTGATCGAAAAGATCATTCATTATTGAAAGAATATTTACCACCGAAATTTGAATATATCATTAATATACGATTAAGTGATTTACAATCAAGATTATATTATCTATATTTACAAGTAAAAGTTGCTCGAAAACAATGTTCACCTATATTAAAGAAAGATTTTAAATCAGCAAAATTATTTGCTGATTATCAATATTTGCAAAAAATATGGACGTAGGGGAAATGAATACATTGAAATAACTAATAATATGAATATTTTATTTTTAGACATCCATTTTTACTCTATCCATATTTTATTGATCGCTGGAAAAAAGGACTAGAGGAAAATGATGACGATGATGGTTTAAGTAATGACAATGAATTAGAAGATATGTTTATTGATGATAATGAACTAGAAACTGTATTTATTGATGATGAAGAAAATAAGGTAAATCAAAGCAGATTTACGTATTAATTCAGAGTAGATGTAATTAAAAATTTTGATATTTACATAATACGATACATTTATTAAGATGCTTAACTCATTATTAGAATATAAAGTCCTCGACACATTAGAATCAAGTTTTTATATTTTTTTGCTCATATGAATAATGATCTAATTGCAAAATATAATTTACCATCATTAAATGTTGATGGTCGGAGCTTGAATTCAAATGATAGTAGGGATCTGCAAAATCGTCCTGGTCCCGGTTAGCTTCTTTTTATCAAGTATCTCTGGTATTTATTTTAACATTTATTACTATATTCTGATAAAAAAAATCTGTAAATCGCTATTTTTGTTTCAAAATCCGATAAAAGCCTTTCGCAAATCACAGTTCTGTCATCAAGACTCGAATGTTTTGGGAACTTGAGCAGGTTTTCAAGTATGCAAAACACAATATACATGAATTAGACTCAATCACATTTTAAACATCCCTTATTTCTACAATGTTTTACCATTATTCTATTACCGTTAGCGTGAATCGATTAGTTTTATTGTTTTACTCATGTATATTTGCGAAAACCTTTGCTACTTGTTGGCAATAGGAAAAAAACATAACATTTAGGCTTAATCTTGCGAAAAAATTCTGGAACTAGCCGTAAAAATTGTACTCCTAGTCATGCAGATTCTTAGGTACTTCTTCAGATTACAGATATTTCTTTCATCTTCAAATAGTGCTATGCTAATTGACATGTATAAAGAGTGTTTATAGTCTGAAGAAAAGTCGATCATTAGTTTTGATACATGTGAAAATAGAAAATTTTAGCTATAATAAAGACCGGGACTAGAAAAACGTCATTTTGCAGATCCCTAGATGATAGTTCCATCGATTCTGATATTGAAATTCATGGCATTAACAGGTGAATGATGATTTTATTCGGCTAAATCTTAGTAGCCTTATATAAGATATTGCTTTTGCTTGTTTTGTGAAACACGATCTGAAAGGAGTGTTGAAGTGTTTAGGGGCAGAAATTTGCACCCCCTCCCCCCGCTCCTTCCCCTCCCCACAGAACATGACAGAGAAACCAAATACCCATCACAGACTGTGACAGAGAAACCCCAATACCCATCACAGACCGTGACAGAGAACTCCCAGAGACCATCACCGATTGTGACAGAGAAACTGTAATTTTGAAGCATCAAATAAACGGTAAGCTGCAAATCTATCTTGAAGAAATGGAACAAAACGATGTCCATTTAATTAATTACAATAGGTCCATCGTGTTTCACATTTTTAATCCTGCAAGGAATTGCGCTAACAGCTTTTAATCATGTGAAACCGAAATAAATAAGATAAATATAAAAAGTAAAGACTTGAAATATTCAGAGTCATGAAGATAGAAAGAAAATATTGCTCATTTTGGGAATATAGTATAAGGTCCAGGGTCTTATAATGTGTCGATGGCTTTATTCATATTTCATAGTTACTTACATAATTTTATAGCATTCAAATAATCAGTATCTCAAGGATCATTAATTTATCTTAACCAATTCAAGTAGACTTTAACCTTTAAAATAATTAATAGGGATTTTATTTTGTGAGTTGTTTTGATTCGTTATAGTCACCATTGGAAAATAATTTGAATGATTTTTCAATGAACAATATTCGAAATGAAGTGGATGAATATAAATCCCTGGCATCAGAAATAAGAAAACGTAAAACTTCCACTTCGTCGATAGCAACACTTGATTTTGATTCAACATCAACTGATAGTGATGAATATATTGATATCGGTAAAGATTATTCAATGCAAAACAAATCATCATCAACAACTATTGATTCAAGCAAAACTGATATAGAAAATAATAAAAATTCCCTAGAAGGAATAACTTATAATGATAATGAAAAAGAAAATTCTATTAAACCATGGTTAGATGAAATGCGTAAGCAATTTTGGTTTCGTTACTTAGATAGTTTGTCCAATCAAAGTGAATTTGATGTAGAATTAAGTGGAAAAATTATATTATTAAAATCAATTATTGATAAATGCGCTGACATCGGTGATAAAATTCTTGTATTTTCACGTAGTTTATATTCATTGGATTATATTGAAAAGTTTCTAAAGCATTTACACATTCAAAATGAAAAACAATATCAAACTCTTTTATCAGAAAAAAATAATCGCAGTATACCTACACCAGTGCAATGGATTTCTGAAAAAGACTATTTCAGAATCGATGGTAAAACAAAAATTATATTAAGAAAAAGTTATATAGAAACATTTAATGATCCATCGAATTCACGTGTTCGATTATTTCTTATATCAACAACAGCTGGTGGTATTGGAATTAATTTAACTGCTAGTAATCGAATTATTGTTTTCGATGCAAGTTGGAATCCAAGGTGAATATCATCATAAAATTCTTAATTTGAAAAATAAGTCTCTTGTGAGATTTCCTATACTAATCGCTTAGATTCAATTCGATTCTGAATTGATAAAGTTTCTTTTTCTTTAGTAACGATGCTCAAGCATTATTTCGTTCATATCGTTTGGGTCAAAAAAAATCAGTTTATGTCTATCGATTTGTATCTCACGGTACAATGGAAGAAAAGATTTATCAACGACAAGTTGTTAAACAATCAGTTTCAAAACGGTAGTACAGATTAAGTCCAAATATTAAAAAAAATTGATACAATTTTTTCTCGTTATGTTCTAGTGTAATTGATGATCATCAAATAGATCGGCATTTTACTCGAAATGACATAAAAGAATTATATGATTTTCAATTAGAACAATTATCAAAAGTTCAATCGATATTAACATATCCAAAAGAGTCAAATACTGATCTAAATCTTTCAGAGTCGGAGGATCATCTTTTATTTGATCTTTTAAATGAACATAGACGTTGGATATATTCATATCACTCTCATGATTCTTTATTAGAAAATAAGATTGACGAAAATCTCAGTCCTGAAGAACGACGTCAAGGTAGATTGTTCATTCTCTTATCTTGTTTTTCTTTTTCTATGCATTATTTTCATTTAAATACAGCTCTTGAAGAATATGAAACTTTACAACGTTTACCTATTCAACGTCAATCATCTTCTCAACGTCTTCCGCCACAACAATTAAATTCTCTTGTTGCAAATAATATAGGTAATTATCAATGTTTTTAGGGAGAAAACAAGATTATCATCTTACACAGTGAAAATGCATTATAAGTGAATGTGAAAGCTGTTCAATAAGAAACAACAAAGTGAATCCATTTGCAATTATCTTTCTTCAAAAAACTTTTTTCTAGTGAAATAGAAGTAAAATTGAGAAACGAACAGCTCACTTATATTCCATTTCACTACAGCTCCAGTTCTAATAGCATTAGCACATATCTTCTTCATCTTTGTAAATTTAGATAAGCCTTCCTTCTTCAGAATATGGTAGAAAAAACATTCTTGGAAGTTTGATGAAAGTCTCTCGAAGATGAAGAAGAATGATATTTTTTTGACACTGGCTGTTTATTTTGCTTTTCCATTTATTTTAGTAATTCACAACATTCCAGCTCGTGCTAAATGGAAACAAAATGGAGTGACCATCGTCGGAGATGCTAGAGAATGCAACGACATCGATCAAATCTATTGGCCTGTAGACTTGTTTGTTCATGATGATGAAACGATAATCTTTACTGACTGGGCTAATGATCGTGTTGTTCGTTGCAACATCACTAGTAAGAATATAGAAGTTGTAGCCGGTGGCAATCGTACAGGGAGTCGATTGGATCAATTGAATCGCCCTATCGATGTTTTAATGGACAAAACTACAAATAGTCTCATTATTTGTGATCGAGGGAATCGACGAGTGATACGACAATCTTATCATCATGGTATCACTAAAACAGAAATTCTTGTCAACAATGTCGATTGTCGAGGATTGGCTATGGATGATCAGGGATTACTTTACATTGCTGACTACAGGAAACATGTAGTAAAACGATATCGAATAGGAGATCAAAACGAAACAATCGTTGCAGGTGGCAACGGCAAAGGCAATGGTCTACATCAACTAAACAAACCAAGATATCTTTTTATTGATAAACATCAATCTATTTACGTGTCAGATAATGGTAATCATCGCGTGATGAAATGGAGTAAATATGCGGAAAAAGGAATTATTGTTGCTGGCGGTCGTGGCAAAGGAAGTCTTTTGACACAATTATCGTTTCCTTATGGACTATTCGTTGATGCATTGGGCACCGTTTATGTAGCAGACTCGAGGAATGATCGAGTAATGCGTTGGTCTAAAGACGCAAAATATGGTACTACCGTTGTGGGTGGAAATGGGAGAGGTGCAAAGGCACATCAGTTTTACTCTCCCAGAGGTTTGTCCTTCGATCGATATGGTAATCTTTATGTGGTTGATTATTGGAACCAGCGGATTCAATGTTTCTCTATTGATGATTGTAGGATGTAGCTATGTCAGATTTTAGGTGTAAATTATGTACACAGTTGAGCTAAGCTCTTATAATTTGGAAAATATATAAATGCCTCTTAGATGTAGTAGCTTCACTTTTCATCACCTCAAGAACTTATCTTGAATTGTATAAAATATGTTTATTTATCAAGCAAGAAGAAAATATTTTGTGTAAAAAATTAAAATATAGTAGTACCGAATATTTAATAAAAGGACAACTAGAAAAATAAACAAATAATCGGAAAAAATAGCAAAAAGCTCAGTGTCACCGATGGATTTTGAAGAAAACTATCAAACTACACTTAATAGAAAAAAAAACGAAAGACATTTATGATTCACAAATATTTTTTTTTTTTTTGAAAAGAAAAAGAATGAATCCATGTCGTCTGTTGTAGTAAATATTATTTGTCGATGATAACAGACTTTTGGATAATCGTCACTACAGCTGATACATTCGCTAACTTTAATTTTGATTTCATGTCTTATATATTTATCCATTTAAAGAATAATATCATCCAAAAGACGGGTGTAAAGTTTTACTGTTAAGACCATTTTCTGATCAAACTTTTCATTTGAATAGGATATCGACTCTAGTTCATTATTTGCCAAGTATACTCTTGTATTAGGCAAGCTTATGGATTGCTTTATGACATTTCAATTCGGTTCTATCATTGACATGAGATTTTGGGTATGATAAAATAGACCAAGATGCTGCTGATTATTATGGTCATAAGTTTTGATTATCTCGTCCAATGATTGTAGTGAACATTCTTTGGTCTGATGTTTCTGTTGGAGTGTGGGTGTGGGTAATATCACTTGTTCATCGTCACTCCATACCCATACCCACACCCACTTTGGAAAACTGGTAGTTCTTTGCAATGTACTTTACTTTTAATAATGTCATTTCATTTATTACAAAATTTATCTATCTTTTACACTAATAATTGCAACACAAAATAAAACTTGGTAGTTATATTCTTCTCATATTATTTCATAGACTAATTTTCTCTACTACCTATCTTGCTGAACTTTTGATCTAATATTTCGTCTCTAAATATTTTTTAATATTCAAACATGGATGAAATCTATATTACCATAACATTTTCATTCAAGAAATAACAAAAAGAAGCTTTTCAAATTCATAAAGCTTTTTAAAAGTTTTTAATTTGAAACTTACTTTTTTTTGTCGATTCACAGTCTATAATTGATCAGTATATTATATTCATTATTTGATTAATTTTATATATTTTAACTCACTAGTAATCTTGCGTATGTTGTACGTCTAAAATCATACGAATATCTTAGTATTTTCTCAAATAAAAATTAATAATCGAATGTCGAAGACAATATCTCGAAGTTATTGAATCAAAACCATATTTTTTTCTTATTCAACAACATTTTACATCATTGATATTTATAATAGTAGTATAAAAAAACAAAAAAATCATTTCAGTAGCAGTATCTACTATTTAAAAAAATATTGCGCTATTCTCTATATATCATTTTTTTCAACTTCATTTGACTTTTTTTGAATTTTTCTCGTGATAAAAATATTGCACAATGAAATGAACAATTAATATTGTTAAAAACGATAATATTTCAAACATACAAACTAATTCAGTACTGGAAGGTACCATTGTTCTGGTCAGTGATATTTCCAATTTACAACTTGACAGCAAAAGCAAATTTTGGACGGCTTTGTTGTACGACAAAGATCAGAAAATCCATCGAATAACAAAATATTTATCATCAACAGGAACATATGCATGCTTCATACAAAACTGATTGAACATTTTAACAATCAATCTGGTGTCAAGTTAAACAAGTTGAAAATTAATGGTGAAAATGCGTATGTTGTTACATCAGGAACGATAGCTACACCAATAAATCTATTATTTAAACCTTTATGTATTCAACATACGACAATAAAAAACATTCTGTCTATGTCAGATGGAGAATATGTAACATTTTCATGTAAAATTATAGACGTTAGTTCAGTAAGTTTTCAAAAAAAATAAATACTTATCAAATATTTTGTTTTTGAGAAGGAAATTGTATTGTTTAATAATGCATATAAAAGAATTCAAAAGTTAAAAAAAAACTGTTCTAGTGGCTGATAAAACTGATTGCATTAAATTAAATCTTTGGGAGAACAATTTTACATTTATAGTAAACGATCAATGTTACTTGATTAAATTAGCAAAAGTAAAAATATTTAATGATGAAATATTTGTAACAACCACAACACATACAATGTGAGCTTTTCTATTATTTGTCTTCATTTTTCTTTATTTATAAACAGCTTCCAAATTCAGAAATATCTCTTAACATGTACTTCTAAAAAAAAAAAATCTGTAAAAATATTTTTTAGATTTGAGTCTATCGATAACATCGCTGATGTTGTCTCTTGTGATTTTCTTAATATCATACAAGAATCATCAATAACAGGTACAATAACATCAATGGGATTAATAGAGCAGCCTTGTCTTTGTCCAAAGTGCTATTCAAGTGATGTTGAATGTCATGGCAAGACTATTAAATGTATCACATGTAAATCAAGATCATTGTATTTACAAGACTCAACTCAACAAAACCAAATAAAACTTAATGTAACCGATATTTATCATATGTTTGAATTCATTATTGAAAGATCAAAAATTCAAGTTTTATTACAACAATCTAATCATGAACAACTTTGTCAAAACGATTTGCTAGAAGATGAAGATGTATTACTTGCCTTATCTTCAATGAACGTTTTTATTAACTTTTATCCAAAAACTATGCACATAAACACCATTGCATTAAACAATATTTATATAGAATAACTAAATAAATTTTCTCAAACATGAATAAAACTAAGCATTTATAAATTCCTAACACTTTCAGAAATAATTCATAGTTTTTTCTATTTTCAAATTCCACCGATTTTCCTATCTAGATATTTATGCTACTTCAAGTATTCATTTCATACTTTCGCTGGATCTGATCATTCATATAGATTGTTACATTTTCCTTCATAGATAAATATCTAGCTACATGATTATCTTAAAACATCACAAATCAGTCAACAATTTCATATCGTTTACGCTGCTTTATATAAACTTTAAATCAATAGTATTACTACACTCATTCGTATCGGATTCAGATACATGATGATATCTGTTCATTTTATCATCGAACCATTACATATGACTGTTCAATCAAATTAACAGTAGTATCCTCATTAAAAAAAATACTAAAGCTCACCAAATCAAAACTTACACTTTTCCTGTGTTTTTTTGTTACGAAAAATTCATCTAAACTTTTCGGAAAATTAAAAATTAATTAAAATTAATTCTATACATGGTCTACAGACTAATTCCACACAGCGTTTTTACTTTATTGCGCAGAATTTCATAAAAAATATCTAAAATCTTATATAGTTGAATATCATGCCAGTTCCTTCTACAAAAAAACTTTTGCTTCACCATTTAAATTGGGTACATCGTGTTTCACATTTTTAATCGCGCAAGGGATTACGCTAACAGCTTTTCTTTTCTTTTTTTTTCTTCTCTCATGTAAATTCTTTTCAAATATCCTTTGTTCTTGCTGCTAAGGTACAGTGACGTCATAATTTCTCTCTTCTCCTCTGATCCTTTGTTTCTCGTGAATATTCTCATTCTCTATTGGCTATATATACTCCCGCTCTTATGAACAAATTTATGTTTTTCTTGAATTTGCAAAGCATATCATTTTGGTTTCAGTACAGAAGTCTCTCTGCTCCAGCAATGAACAAATAAGTTGTGGAAGACCTCTTTCTAAAAATAAGTCTAAACTAGCATCACCAAAAACTATCCTTAATTTTGACAATGAAATGTATTTGCCTGTGAAACGAAAAATAAGATGATCTGCTTATTGTGACATCAAGGAAGTAGATTTTCGATCCAACATCGAGTGCTTTACTTGCAAATTGCCATTTTGTTTAAACGATGAAAAAAATTGTTTTTTTGATTATCATAACATTTTTATGTAGTCATTTTGAGTTAAAATAAAATAAAAAGGGTGAAAAATGTGTTTTTCGATTAAAAAAAATTCGGTCCTCAAAGGGTTAAGATACTGTGTATGACAATATATGTAGGTTAAGTCTTTAGTTTAAGTAAAACCTTCGATTAATAATAATAGGCTTCTTGTTACTATTACTATCAATGTTACATTCATTTCGAACAAAAGGATCACATAGTATACCGCGTGTATCAAAAGTTTTGCAATATTTAGTATTTTTCAAATATCTCAGCAGACATCAATCGTATAATCGTGATTCTTTTTTCAATAGATGCGTCATGAAAAGCTCTACAAAAACTGTAAGAAGAAACTTCTACTGTGTTACTCTAATGGTATGTCCTATATATTCAAAATGAATAGATCAGATGATGGTCATACGTACTAGAAGGTTAAGTATTTGGAAGATTATTGTTCTTTCGTAATAGGAACTTTCTAAAGTCGAGATATTCGCAAAATAAAAAAGAAGTTTTCAAGATATTTTTGTTATACTAATTATGGTGGGACATGACACCCACATATAATCTGCTCATTTTGAGTATCGGAGATACTATCTGTGGAAGTCAAAAGGGATATTTTTTTCTTTTAGTTTTTGTAGACTTTTTCACGACGCATCTTGTTGGTACATCCGGCATATATTATATATACTGTTAATCTTCTGTAACATTGATAGAGTTTATATATTATGATGGTCTTGATCGATAAAATTATAAACTTTTATGTACATATTTTAATTCAGATATGAATGTAAAGGATAGAAAAAAAAACGTATTAATTTGTTTTTCGTTAGGTTTACACGTTGTTTATTGATCAAGGTCAGTATGTTATAATGCATTTCGTTCTATTTTTACACGATACAGTACGATAGTAAATAAACAGTGTATGGTAAAATAAATCAAGAAAAAGAGCAAAGAAGCACCAAACCTGTTATTGTTAGTCGATGAAAAATTCAAGATAGTTTCGCAAGTCTTTTCTTTTTTGAATATTTTTCATAAATAATTTTCTTAAAATAGAATATATGAACTTTATTTCAAGGTCTTCTTTTCTAAATATATTAAAATATGAACGTGAAAAAAAAAGAATGCCATGAATAAATATTTATATGTTGTACTTTGGAAAATTGTTTTTTTTTTACTTCTGTTTTATAATAAACGATTTATTAAAATGATATGATATTTAGTTTGGTTTTTGTCAGTGAGTTTAGAGATAGAATTAGTTTTGCTTCGAACTTTGATTTGATTTTGATTATTGCCATGGTGGATTTGGATATTGTGATGTATTACTTATATTAGATTGTGATGTATTACTTATATTAGCCATAAATCTCATAAATTCATCATATGATGCCATTCCATCACGATTAAAATCGATCTTTGACATAACTTGCTGAATTTCAGCATCTGGACGTGGCATATTGGCTCGACAAAGACTTTCTTTCATTTCATCGAATGTAATAAAACCATTGCCATTTATATCGAATTCCATAAATGCCTTTGAGAGTTCAATAACTTGAGCAGGTTGTAGTCTACCAATAATACTATCACTAGCCATGTTTCGTTTGGTTAGTCTGTCTTTTTTTTACGTTAGCTGCAATGATAAATATTTCACTTTTGAATAATGTTAATTACGGTAGCTTTTTATCTTATTGCTTGGGAAGTCAAGCATAAGGATACACATGGCTGACTCTCCATAGATAGAACATAAGAAGCGTATGCAAACACGATTAGCTGGTTAATGAGCAATAGTAATACTTGTATACATGAGCACGTAGCTGACGTATTTTTTGCAACATGTTTTTCAAACATTAAAAAAAATATTTGAACCAAGGACGTTGTCGAATGGTTCTAAAAATGAAAAATAAAAATTATATTGATAGATTAATCACTTGTTGTTTTTGACTCTAATGAAATTTCGCTTTGATAGAATTCAATAATTAAAGTAACTTGATTTTTTATATTCTCATTTATTTCTTCATCGCATATAATCGATGAAAGGTAGTTGATATTCATTTATAGTGATAAGATATGTGCTAGATTGAGACTCTGAGAGAAAAACATTTCATTTTAACAGAAAATTAAGATTATAATTAATTATTCTATCGTTTGAAATGAATTATTATATTAATTAGGACATATATAATTCAAGTGGAATGAACCAATCAATATAGACCAGCGGCTAATCAAATCAAAAGATAACTGTTGACAAGTTATTTATATGTGATACGACTGTATTCTGAAATAGATTCTTTTTCTAGATAGAGACTAGGCCTTGAACAAATAAAATTATTAGAACTGCGACCAGGTTAGATTTATTGAGATTAGAAAATAAAAAGAACTTGATCTCATACATGTCGTGTGACGAAACATTCTTTGCTAATGAGAATATTTTTCTTATTCGACATTTTTCGTGTTACGCTGTATTATTCAACGGATGATTCATATAAATAATATTTCTTTATTAAAGGCCATTATTTAAATTCTCTTTGGAAGTTTTTACTATTCTATATATTTATGTTTGATATTAGTTTTGTATGTATTCGATGAGTTATCAATAACAGTATTTATTCTTCTCTTATGTGGACTTGAATAAAAAAGAAAATTGTTATTAGTCTTTAAAACGCACTTATTCATCTACCTGAATTAGTTATTTCTATTTATATATTATGTATATTGATTGTTTGACTAGTAAAAAATGAATTGAACAAACAAAGATAACAATAAGAATATTTCAAGTCATAGAAATATAAGGATTGAATGAGAATTGAATTGAACAGAAATATACGGAATAGTTGAATTTCATGTGCTTGATGCATCCGTTTTATTCATACTTCATAACAGAATCGACAGGCAAAAGTAAATAATTATTTCTTAGGTCTCCACTCCCATTGTTTTTAAATCTATAAAATGGAAAAAACTAATGTTTTGTAAAATACGATTAGATAATAAATATTAAATTTATGTAGAGAGAAAGTTAGAATACCCATAGACCATCAAAGATATATCGCCATTTGGCACTACGAGGATCATTTTCGAGTTTGTTTTTTGAAATTTAATTGAACAAGAATATGTAATGATATTGCAAATCAAAAACTAAAACCTTAGATTTTTTTCGCTTTCCACACAGGTCATAACAGATAGAAAGTGCATATGTTCACAGATCGTAAATGACTAAAACAATATGTGAATAAATTTGACTCAAAAGAATTCTATGATTGATATCAA